CCCCCGGTAGAACAAAAAGCGCGATTATAACTATACATGTATGCATGTTATTCTGTAGTATACAACTATTTATAAAGTGTAAAATTTTTGAAAAGAATATTCTATGTATATCTTATGTTATTCCTGATGTATATGTCGCTTAGTTTTCTATGTCATGCAGAGTATGCATCTTATACTTTTACATATAGCCTCGTGTCTGAAGCATCTCAGTTCTTTAGTATAAACTACGCGATTTGTGGAGATCACTCAACTCGGTGTTTTACTGAAATTATTACATGAGGTTGGATCAACACAATGGTATATCTTCTTCCAACTAAGGCCAGGGTCAAACGTCGAACTTTTCATGCGCCGAACTTAATGTTAATGAGCTAAGTTCTTTGTTTCACTTCATTTGCATTAGGTTCGGCGCATGAAAAGTTCGACGTTTGACCCTGGCCTATAAGTCTCACTCAGTCGGTACTAATTGGAATATATGATTATTCACTCCTATACCCTTGGTAGTGTCAAAGGTACAAAATTATTAGTAGAGTTCCTACTAGATTTTCTACAAGTCGACTCGCATTGTAAGGAGTAAAACGAATGAGGGAATAAAACGAATGGGCGAGTTTGGGCTTTTATGGCTAAAATCCGCACTTTGAGCTCGAGTCGACTTGTAGCAAGTCTATGTTCCTACGAGCGGAAGACATCTTCATGGTACAGATCGAAAGCCCGCAGAGGTGGAATGCACATGCTCTAATCTGCTGTACCAACTTTATTTTTCGTCGGGCTGCTTTCCGCTCGCACGTTTTCTTTTCGTATGGATATACTCACGAAAAAAGCTATATTCCGAATGAAATTAGACTTGACTGAAACTCGGAGGAAACTCGGAGCGGTAGGAGCTGCTCCTATATATATGGTGAAGGGCTCTTATAACATCAAATTTCGTGTAGAAAATGAAAATCTCTATATAGTGATATGTTTAGTAACTTTTTACCAAAGTTGTTTTAATAGTATCCCCTGATACAGTCATGAGAGCTCTAACCACCGAGTATCACGTCCCGACTTTTTAATCAAACACCTCCAAACAACGGACACCATTCGGATTACAATCTGGGGCCGGTTGTATAAAACTCTTAATCACTTTTTTAATCACTATTTTGTAGTTAAATAGTGATTAACTCTCAAATACGCGCTTCTTATTGGATGACGTTTGCACTTAATCATAGTTAACTTTAATCACTTTTTTATACAACCGGGCCCTGACTATAAGCAGATAAAAACTACCCCTATACGGCTATAGCGGATAGTTCGTTCTAATGCCTCTACAGATGTAGATCCTGATGACTTGAAAACATATGATCGTAAAAGTAAAACAAAGTGAAACTATGAAGTTACTTGAATGTCACCGTCTCTTGCATTCGCCTGGCTATACTATCATTGACCGTCTAGACAGTGGACACCTCCAAACAAGGGACAGCAATGGTCCCACGATGCCATTATGTATAATATGCATGGAGTGATGGAGGTTCCACTGTAGAGTGTAGTAGGTTTGCATTAAGGCCGATTTCCATTGCAGTCGCTTTGCCCGCGCGGGCGGAGCGAACATTACTCAACTTTCTCTCTAGTTGTCTAACCTGTGGGTTTTTTTCCGCCTGACTGCTCGCGGACACGCCATGAAAGTTGAACTACATTCAACTTTCTTGGCGTGACCGCGCGACTGATTTTTCACGTGATTAAAATTGGTCGCTTCACCCGCGCGGGCAACGCGCCTGCAATGGAAAATGGCCTTTAGGGAAGCGCAGGTGGCACACGCGCGGTTAAGTTCGAGCTTGGACTTGCGTTTCATGCACTTCAAGGGTGCTCCGGTGTTCCTCCCACTTAAAAATCAACACACTTAACTAAGTATGTAAGAAAGCGTCATGTATGTAATTGTCAATTGTGTGTGAGTAAACTGTTAAATAGGGTTAACCTTGCGATTTCCCTTTCGAGGAAAGTATGTTTACCTCAGAATAAACACTCCAAGTGTATTATGTCGTGTTTGCATACCACCTTGCCCATACTGGGCTCCGTGAGAAAAAGAAGGGGGCAAGTGCCGCACTTCCCTGTGGCCTGAGGACTTTGTGTGGCAAATACACCATTTCGATATACTTCAGGATACTTCCCTGGCCTGGGAGTCTCGCTCTCATGAATCAAGACAACAGCCTCGCAATTCATGAGAACGAGGCTCCCAGGCCGATGTGGGATTTGTGACGTAACTATATTTCGAAAAAGAAACTCTATAGACATTAAAATATGCTCTCAGTATTTAAATAAATTTTATACCCGATATACGGCCACCCGTTCACACCGCCATAACATACAGAATATATACTTGCATATATTAAATAAGACGACTGAATCTCTGATTGTTTTCTTATTCACGTGTGCATGTCGGTTAATCCGGCTCGGATTCGACCGGTTATTTATAGTATTTGTACACGAACGGCGGGAAATTGTATGCTGCTTTATCGTTTAGGAGAAATTCAGTTAAAAGTAGTGGTTTCTGGGTGTATATACTTGTTGGTAGTTTCAAGGTAGAAACGGACAGTTTTTGCTCACATTTTATGCATGCTAAAATTGTGTTTATATTCGCGGCATCTGGAATTGTTTGCGGTAAAACCCGGGAAACCAAGCATAAAAAGTTTACTCTGGCGTTACAATGAGCTCTTGAACGCAAAGGTTCGTAAATGTTTTTTTCATCATGAGTTTAAAGGGTACAACACATGTATCTGAGGCAACAATATTTTGACATATTAAATCACACGCTGTTGCACGGGAATGCATTGCTTACATTCTTGTCGCTGCACTCGAGGGGTCGTCATCTCGACGTATCTCACGCTTGAATCGGAAATTAGCTGCCTGCCACTGAAAGCCGGTCATAGAAAAGACTGTGTACTGCAAGCTTTGCTAGAGCGGCCTATAACGTGTGGGTGTACATTATTATGTACTCGCTTGTATAGGTAATAGAATTAAAGCATAGCTATATGTTTTACTATAAGCAAAGCAATCTTATACGTCGATCTTTTGTTGTATTTTAGGATTGTTGTATGTACGCCATGGTGTAATCGCCGTCTACTGAGCGTTCGTTCGTTACGAATTCATGTACTGTGCCCGCAGAAATTGAGCGGCTAGTTGCTAGCGTACAATGAACGAGAATACATCGCACACGGAGGAGCTAGCACAGACGAACCGTATAACGAGCAGAAGCGAGTCAGATGAACTCAGCGATTGCAGCAGCGAACAAGACAGCAGGTTATCCGGCACTGTTGAACATAGTGGAGGCACCAACTCCGAGCAAAATCTAGAAAACGACGCTAATCGTCAAGTAACGGAGAAAAAAGGGGATGGAGAAAGCGAAAAAAAGGTAGCGTGTATATTCTTCTTACATATCCACATCAATTTTAAAGACGACATGAGTTTTCTTGTTATGGAAATTTGTATGCTTGTGTTGTTTGAGCTTGATATTAACTTAGCATATCACATTAAAGTTTGTTTGACGAGAGGTAGATTCGCTGTGAATATTAGCCGCTCTTAGGGAAAAGTGCACTTTTCCGGCTGCTTGCACGCAGAAAATCGCGTGATGCCGTGATAATCAAGGCACACAACACTTTACATTATTTCATTGCACTATTTCTACAATCATGCGATCGCTTACATGCTATATAGATAATTAACGCCCGCTCTACGCTTGTTATAACCCAGATTTGATCGCTTTCCCCGCTGTCTGTGTAACACCCACGTTGCAAGGGAATGTTTAACGAAAGATTTTAGCCACCGAACATTTGTTTTGGTTCAGATGCTTTCAATATCTCGAGGCAAGTGATTGACTCTATAGATATTGAATATTCAATAAGGGTAATGTAGGCTGGCTGTTGTACAGCGTCTAGCGTGTGGCGAGTTTGATTTTTTCTAAGTTATGAATGTACTTTGCATTGTCCGTCTTTACAACGGTTCGAGGTCAATCCAGTGTTTTGATAATTTCCTACCGGAAGAAGACCTTCCTGCCGGTGAAATATTGCCCTTTGCTCTACAAGCATCTCAGCTTTATCGCCGTCGTTCATTAAATCATTACCATTCAAGATTCTTTCTCGCCTCACAGTATGGGCACGGAATGATATGAATTTTTAACAAGTTGTCGCAATTTCGACTTCAAACGCTTTTATTTTGACGACATGCGATCGCATTCCAGATATCACATTGTATCTTTGTCTTTCATCACCCTTTAGCATGCATACATGAAAACCTCGTCTGCTTGTATAGATCATAGTTAATATAATGTATAGATTTATGTCGTTATATTGACTAATTTAAAGTATACTATAGCATAAGCAAATGTGCTTGCATTGAAACACTAGGATACGAGAGGCCTAATATTATTATAACTGCATACGAAAGAATTGGTGGTGTTTTCGTTGTCTTTTTATTAATTTTAAAGCATTCTACTTTACCAGTGTGTAGATTTTATAATGTGTATCGTAAATTGCTGGGTTTTCACTTGAAATACAGTTGGAATATGTATAAAATTCACATTTTGACCTCTTCGAATATTCGGCACTTTGCATTGAAGTGGATACACAGTCTGTACAGACTTCAAAGCCAGGGGCAGTCTGAGAACTTCTACTAATAGTTGAACAGTTTAAGACAAAACAAAAGCTAGAAGCTAGCGTAAATAAACATCTTTAGATTAAAAGCAAACCATAGTGCCATTAGTAATTTATATATAGCTATAACATATACTGTTACAAGTCCATATATACATGTATCATTTAATTTGCAGTAAGATCATTTTTACAAGTAAGTATATACCAACTGTATATATACTGATTATTTCCCAATGTATGTTGTGTTTCCACATAGGCATAGAATTAGGCGCGTATATATTTATTTCAAAATACAGTGTGTGATAGGACTTTATGGTCTATTTTAGCAATGCAGTTGTTGGAGTAACAGTTCAACGTCAAATTTGACAAAAGCGTCCAAATATATATTCTGTCATAGTTTGGTCCATTATATAATTATTTTGTCATACAGTATAAAAACCCGCATAAAAGAACCAACAGGTATATTATAGTATAAATCAGGCGGTGGGATCGGTCATATAGTAGTTACCAGTTCAGTATTTGAAATTGATTTTTTTATGAATATATACCAGCATTTACATTGCCTCTGCCTCTGAATGTGATAAAATAGTCAGATTGTAATCCGAAAAGAATTGGGACGTTAATTTATACTGCCGGTGGTTAGAAAACCCACTGTATCTGGGGATACTATACTGAAACGACTTGTATAAACAATAGTTGGAAGAAGATACCATTGTGTTGACAAAAGATCTAAACCTCATCTAAAAATTTCAGCAAAACAAAATGTTTTTGGATATGCACTTGTATTAAATTGGCACGTAGCAGCTTGTAACTGCGCTTAGAACTTTCTTTCTACTTGAGCTAAAGTATCTGAAGTGGTTCTTGTATTCGCTAACAGTCACAGATCTTCGATATAATTTCGACTAGTGAAGTTGTCCTTGAGACCTTGACCTTTCTTTTGTTGATCACACTATTTAAAATGGTCCATGAAAGTCAAATACCTTGAGATTCTTTACATACTATAATATTGAATACCGCCATCATACTTCTAAAGGCTTGTTGGATCCGACACAGAATATTGATTTTAAAGCAATTTTCCGCTCTACAATACTCGTTGCATGGGTACAGTAAAGCGTTACGAACACAGATGGTGGTCATCTTCCGAACCGTTAAAAGTTATAAGCGAGAATATTAAACTAAATCTCTCGATGTTGATTATTTTGCTACCAAATGCATGACTACTACATGATGTATAATGAAAAGAAGTTACATAATTTTCAAAATATATAAAGACTGCATGACGTTTGGCCACCAACAGTTGCACGATAATATGTGACTGTATGCTTAGTAACACCCACCTATATAGAACAAGTTCTATATCTAAAATTATGTAATTTGAACTATTAGTATACATTCCAAGTTTGCCACTATAAAAACGTACTCAACACTATAAACAGGAGTTTATCAATTCTGGAATCTATTAACAAGTCAAAATTGCTTCGTATATATAACGAAATCATCACCATCACAATCTTGTAAACTTGGGAGTATAATTTCACCAATATTTTCCACGCAGTAATCAACTCAGTGACTGTGTAATGGTAAACTGTTTTCCTTAAGAGCATGCACCAATGGCATTTCTCCATTTTTTCGGGATTTTGAGATGTCATTATCATGGAGTTTTGCATAGATAAAGACAAAACGCATGAGAAGTAACAATGAGGTTTATTCGTGTCATCATTCATCAATTATTAGGTCTTATTAGTGATCTATGAATGATATAAAACGACTCCACACACATGGAGTTGATTCTGTAGCAAAATGTGGTAGGGGGTGGGTGGCAAAGTAGTGCATGTCCATTTCATCTCGCGAGCGGGGTTACATACCCACAATATGCAGTTTCTGATTATATTTTTGTCTCGGTCGCTTGCGAGACTCTTGCTAGCTAGCCCTTGTTGGACCTTTAGAAGAATATTTTAGAACTGATCTAATAAAGTGACTATTATGAAAAGGTGTGGACAATAATTTTTGTTCCATACTGGCATATCATACTGCATGAGAGGCGTGCCTCATCATGATTCACGGTCATCTCAATTACAACGAATATTACTTCAAAATCGAAGTACTTGCCCCTGGTCTGCTGTAAATGCGTGTAATGACCACGCACCTGACACTCTCGTGTGTAAATGCCGCTGACTCTTCCACATTCCCTCAAATTTGCTTCGGAAAAGCAGGCGCTTGCGGGTTGGAACAGTAGGACGCAATGACCCATGGGAATAATCTATTCCCATCATTCAACAAGGGATTAACGACTGCGGTTTGAAAAGCACCATGTGTATAATAACATAGTGTTAATTCGTAGAGGTATATGCACTCCAAAACCCCAATGTACTCCCACAACCACATGCTCAGTTTACACAACGGTTGTTAAAAAATAATATTTTCACATACCAACGTGGCAAAACTAAAATATTTACAAACTTTCAGGGACTTGGAATTTCCAATGGTATTACCATTGCTGATGAATTGCAACCTCTGTTATACACCGCTGCCTAAACTTTGTTTGATCCTCTGTTTGTGCTTTAAAAAGGAAAATGTGGTGCAAAGAGCACAACTAATTGTGACACGTTCTCTGGTCATAAATTTATTTACAACCGTCCCGACGCTAAAACTTGGACTTTTGGCATTTTGGACATGATTTGCAAGAAATTTAATTATGTATTTGGTGAGCGGGAACTGGGAAGGACTTTGCATAAGATAGTTTCGTTCATAAAGCACATTTTGAACTTGCCCCCTATTAATTCAAATCGCGTAATCCAGGCCCCAGTTACGCGATACTGGATTCGTATGCACTATGCACTTTTCATATATTTGAAATTTTTGTTTAATTATGTTATATTATCAAAATTTTAAGTACCAAATTCACCTCGAAGCAGTAAAAATTGACGTCGCTCCGATGCGAATCTGGTATCGTGAAACCCTTAATACAGTATAATGTTGTTGCCAAAAACAGTGTTGACTGAAATTAGATGACGCTTAACTACCTATATTCACATAATTTTTACAAATGTTTATGAATTTTCAGTTAAGCGGACTGTAGAACTACATGTTTTCCCAAGTATTAATATCTTGTGCAGTACCATCTTTATAGCAACAGGATTTCTCGAAGCTATCAAAAGTCCTACTATATCATTGAGTGTTGTACGTATGTGGATTACTGTTTTGGAATACAGTATTTCTCCTATAAGTTCTTTGTAGGTTTGCATGGCGGTAACATATTATATTTTTTTGCTTGTGGAAACACCACGTAAATTTATTACTGCAAAGCTTTCGATCCGTAAGCCCGGATCTTCACTGATGAAGATGATTTAGCACTGATGAAGATCCAGACTTACGGATCGAAAGCTTTGCAGTAATAAATTTACGTGGTGTTTCCACAAACAAAAAGTATTATATTATTTTTCATGTCTAAGATCTGAATTAACACAAATTATTCACATATTTTGTCATACTTAATATTACAAAGACTTCAAGATGAATCAATTTATTTTCTCAAAAATGTCTTTGTCTCATAAGATATAATGATTATTTTGTTGAGTGGGCTATCACTATATGTTTCCTGTTAACCTTTTGCCCTGAAGTATTATTTTGTCAAGCTACTTGTATATAAGCTACTTTCGAGACATTTTAACTTTTTTTATGTTGGGATTTTTATAATAACGTTTATGTATTAGATTTCTTTCTTTGATAGTTGATACTTATCAGCCAATGTTTTAACATGAAGACTAATCCTTCATATTGGGGTTCGGTTACAAACAACTACACGACCAATGATCAGTTAACAAGGCATGTCTGATATTACCCGTTTCCGGCTTAGTGAAAATACTATACCGATTTTAAAGTACTTGCATAAAAGACGTGTTTACAGAAGAGTAATCCTTCTTCTTTTGAAAGTATTAACCATTGCGTTATGTGGAAATATGAAGTAAACTCGTTTACTCTGGCTTGCAAAAATACCTTGTATAGCGCGTATAGGTTGTGGAATTAAACCTTAGCACTATTTCCGTCTTGATAAAGTGTGCCATTGCAATGAATGAATACATGTATATATATTTTCTGAACAAGCTTTCGTTGATAGGTATGCAAGTCGTGCAACTACCTGAAAATATATAAGAAGACGTTTCGACGTTTCGAGCGAAGGCCCTTCGTCTGTAACTCACGACCAATGAATAAAGGAATACCGAATGGTTTTCCGTGCAGGATTGCGTGATCCATGCACGAGGGATGTCGCGAGACTTTCGGAAAGCGTATAAAAATACTCGAGCCGCAGGCGAGTGTATTTTTACGCTTTCCGAAAGTCGAGCAACATCCCAAGTGCATGGATCACGCTATCCTGCTTGCAAAACCATTTGGTAATTGTTTTATAAAATAACTACAGTGAAACAATGACATTTTGTGAATCCCGCGAAAATCCCGTAAATTTTAATTCCTCGTGCAGGATAGCCTGATCCTGCACGGCTATTGACCAATCAAATTGCGTGTTTCACTGTAGTTATTATATAAAGCCTGTTCATTTTATTGCCACTACCTACAACTGACAAAGACAGTTCAAGGATATATATTTTCTAATTAATTTAATAATAACATAGTTTCTAATATATATAGCCTATATATATTCGATTTAGAAGTGGACTCATCTGGGGTCAACCTGGGGAACTTAATGCGACTATATACATTTTTTAAAAACATAATGTATATATACAGTACAGTACATATAACAACACGTGACAGACCAAACGGGATAAAAGAAAATAGCAGCTTTTTCAAAACGTGTTGACATAAAACGCGGATCCGGAATTGCGGAAATGAAGCCTTGAATGCGGCAGACATGTATGTAATACAGTCGAACCCCTATAAGCGGACACCTCTCTTAAGCGGACACCTCCTTTAAGCGGACACATATCTCAGGTCCCATTCGGTTTCTTTAATAAAATACTATTATCATAACCCCTATTAAGCGGACACCCCTCTTTAACGGACGCGGACACCTTTCTGGAGGTCCCAATGGGCAAATCAACCTCTCTTAAGCGGACAGATCACAGATTGTCTGATAAAATGTGTTCAATATTCGACAGTAAATAACAATTGAGATCAATTTACATGGCACATTGACAGTGACACATCAACTTGGCGCGAAGACATCAGAGCCAAGATTATTGAGGAAGTGACGAACGAGGACGGAGGACTGTGAGCCGCCAGCCATGATGATACTCAAATTACACACCTTTGCCTGCTGTGTTTTTCTACTTACCCCTTTTAAGCGGACACCCCTTTTAGACGGACACTTAGGCGAGGTCCCGAAGGTGTCCGCTTAATAGGGGTTCGACTGTATAAATATAGGGAGACTTTCGACGTTTTGCAGACGAAGGGCCTTCGCTCGAAACGTCGAAATTTTCCTTATATTTTTCAGGTAGTTGCATCTCTACCAACGAAAGCTTGTTAATATTTTTGGCAGTATACCTACACTGGCACCGACACTTCAAGATTATATGTGTGTAATATATACAGTTGCGCGTGTTTTGCTCATGAATTATTAGGGACAATTATAATAACAAAAACAACTTGGTGTATTGGTTCATGGCGACATCAAAACAAAAAATATTACGTTACGATGAAGGCGGCATGAACAACGGTCGAGCTTCACTGGATGCAGATGTTTTCTGGTGTCAGGCGAGTTTTCTAGGCATGACAGTCGAGCCTGCCTCTTCTAAAATAAATTAGCTATCAAATAAAGTGATAAAAATTAAAGTAGGCTAATCAGTCTCAATTTTAGCGACAAAACGTGCGTGTTCGACCTGCCAGACGTTTTTAAGGAAATACGTTATGCTCCAGTTTGTGAAAACATTGATAAGAACAAACTGGTAACAAAGCATTAGAAAAGTTCATAAAAGTAGATTAGTCTTATACGTAGTTCTGATTTAATAGGACGCCTGCTCAGGCGTATACTCCGTGCTCGAAAAGCTGGCATGACAACCGTCGAGTATGAATAATATCTGACCTGCTAAGAATAACAATTAAGGAATAAGTAATTGTCTCGAATAAGTAATTGTCTCGAATTGTCCCTCAAGACAACGAATGATCTTGATACATGTAATATCTAGACGTTGATGATTATTCTGCTTTCGAACTAATAAAATTCATGCTACAAGTAAAGTAAAGTATCCAAAACATAGAATAGCAAAATGTCAAAACGTATACGCGGGGTCTGCTGCATGGGTTAGGAAGTCAAAAGCTCAACCAAAATTTTGAAACCCCAGAAAAAATGCAAAACCTAGACTCGCACTCTCCAAGAGCACAATCTGGTAATAAAATTTGTTCTCATATTCTACGAATATACATGTTCCCGTAAAATGGAACAATAATAACTTGGCTACAAGACGATCGAATTTTCCAAAGCTGTGAATTGGGTGGATGTAAATAAACGTCAAGCAATTTCTATTTTGTTTGTAGAAACATCGCCAGTCTCCGTCGTACAAGAAGCAGAAAGCAAATTTCATAAATCAAAATAAGGTATAATCTTTTATGTTTATATGTATAATCTGTATACTTTTTCTTATTTTTTCTTTTGCTTATTCTTCTTTATACATTATAGAAACTTTTTTAGTGTCATTTTTACTGCATTTTCTTCCAATGTATAGCATTCGATTGTCTGATGCAGAAACAGTCGACTGTGCAACTGCAGCTTTAGCTGTAGCTATGCAACTGTAACTACTATAACCGCCATTGAACTATAGCTATAACTGGACATATTCAACTATAACTCATATAGATTTCGTGGGGTGTTTTTTTTTCTTTTCATTTTAGCCTCGAAATAATAATTATATACCCCGCGGTCGTTATCAAGGTCAACCTAACCACTATCCAAGGTATCAACAGCCTTGGCCTATCAACTATGCTTATCAAGCTCCAAACTATTTTCCTGCCTATCAACAAGTAAGTTGTGAAAAAGTATTGCTTTTACTGACAGTACGTGCATGTACTTAACATTTGCTAACTGCATGAGAAATGCGGGTAGAATGCTGAAAGGAACTGCTCCCATGACGCTTATGCATAGCAACATTGTTGGGGAAATAGTCGAAAATTTTCGTTTTCCTCATATTTTTGGCCCGTTTGCGCATAATTATTGTTTTGGAAACATATTGCTTTCCAAATATGTTTCCATCGAAGAACATAGTTTTGTATTTTAGAAATAACTTCACTATTTTTAGGGTTAGGAATTTACTGGGTTTTAAGAGACACTTTCCTTTGCATGCATTTTAATGAGTATATAGTACTGCCTTTGGACATCATTTGTACATATTGAGCAGAAAAACATTTGGTAAAACACTTTTGTTGTTGTCTTTGTCAGTTGTGTTTCCACCTCATTCTAATATATGTTGGGACTATGATATGGGACTGTATATTAAGTGACCTAAATGATTCAGCTCTAAATACTAGATAAAATAGGAGCAACCAATCTTTACAATGGCAATGGCGAGCGTGTAAAGTAAATACCGTGAGCCTAATAAGATAGAAATCGCACATTTTTTTAAGTATGGCTCTTGCATTTCACACAGGTCGTCCTTGCTCTCATTTTGTATTCATAACTTTCTTAACGGATTGTTAATCTTTATTGTGGTTTTCAAAGTTGCACTTCAATACCTAGCCACGACTGCTTTTTACGCACATCAATTATTCGTCATAATAAAGAGTGATTTAAAAAGACTATATAGTCTGTTTACAATTTCGAAAGCTTCGGATTTATAAGGGTGCAACTATGAATTTCGACGTTTTGGGATCGACCCCCTATAGTACCTTCCCGATTAAGGGCCTTCGCTCGAAACGTCGAAATTCTTGTATTTTTCAGGTAGTTGTGTCCGAAGCTTTCTTATTGGCACTGTCAACACCACGGTCAAACGTAAAGTGCATGCGCGACTGTACAGAAATGACGGGAAAAATGTCTGCCAAAGTAATAGGAGTAAATACGGGAAAGGAAAAGCGTTTACTATAAGGAAACAGCTGAAGATATAAAGTATGGAATTTCGCAGCTTTTTCCTTGTATCAAGACGTCAGTTATACTGAGTTTAAACACTCGTAATTTTCTTTAAACTTTTTGCTAGAGAGCTTCCTGAATACAATATTATTTCCAGTCCGATTTTAATACATGCAGTAAATACGCGCGGACGTTTGACCGGCACTGCCTGTACTGGCACAGATCGTCTGTTTACAACTTTTCCTATTCTCCTTATATATCTATTATTTTTCCCTTTTAGCCTAGTTTTACTCCGATAAGCAGTCCTCCCGCAATCAATGGTAGCCACAACGGCGGTCGAAGGTCAAGTAGTGACAGTTCAACAGGCTCAACGGAGAAACTCAGTAAAACTAATTTATATATACGAGGATTAAAAGCGTCAACGACTGATGAAGATTTGGTCACGTTATGCAGAGAGTAGGTTTTGCTCATTGAGCCCCTTGATTAGTTCTTATGGATTTGCTGTAAATTGATGTGAATGGAAACCAACCTATCATGTTACAACCGATCTAATGCAAAATAAATCGCTGTTGTTATTGTTGTTGCTGGTGGTTATAATGCCGTTATTCTTGGTCTTGTTCAGTTTGTTGTTGTTCTCACTGTTTTGGTTACTGCTGTTTTTCCTGTTGTTGTTGTTGTTGCTGTTCTTCTTGTTGTCATTTTGTTGTTGTTGATGTTGATGATGGTGATTATGCTGTTAGTGTTGTTGCTGTATGCTGTTATTGTCGTTGGGCTGTTTGTTGTTATTGTTTTCCTTGTTCATGTTGTGTGCGGTATTATTTGTGATAGTACATTTTGCTGAAACATTTCCGACAATATTATAATGATGTATATGCACATGTGACCTGTTAAATAAATAATGATTCTTTTTATTTATAGTTATGGAACGATAATATCAACCAAAGCTATCTTACATAAAGACTCGAATCTGTGTAAGTAGAGATCAATATTGTAAATATTGTAAAAAACGAAGTCCCCACTGCATGTTTCCAGTCTGTTGAAAAGTTATCTGCAACCGCCTTTGACAAGTTGCTCTCGCAACTTGCTATCGACTAACTTGAAACACCCCCTGTGGAAATTAGCTTCGGTTGACAGGGTTAGCGTGGGTAAATAAAGTCTTTCTATCTATCTATATTTCGTTAGGTTATGGTTTTGTGGACTTTGAGCATCCACAATCTGCACAAACAGCGGTCGCTGCGCTTACGGCCAAAGGAATTCAAGCACAGATGGCCAAGGTACTTAAATATTTGATCATATATAGATACTAGACAGACAAATTGACAATGACTTTATTCTTAGTTACAGCATATAGAGATTAACTCTGGACAAACCAGGAATTTGGTTTGTTTATATATATACCCAATTCACAACTAAAGATAACTCACATGCCTAGTCACTATTGTTTTAGTTTATCGAGACATCAAAGGTAACTAAGCTTTAGAATTATTCACATGAGCGAGTAGCTCTTATAGATAATTCTAATGGCTAGTTCTCTTTGTTCTATTCTGGTATGTGGGTTATTTGAAGTTGTGAATTGAGTAACAACGATGTAAACAACGTTAGCCAAAGTTGTCTATTGCTACCCGAAACATGGTTTCCTGAAAATGAGAATGTAATGTCCAGAAAATGATTTTTCCTCCCCTTCCCTCCCCCTGGATTCGTAATAAAGTTTCTGAAAAGTTCTTAGTATTACTTTACCTGTCGAAGACTGCAGACTGGCAGTCGAAAGCTCGTGTTAAATAAATTTTACGATCAGAGAACGTTTCAGAAACTTTGCAAAATAGTTGTTAAAAAGTAGTTAAGAGTTTTATAAAACCGGTCCCTGATGGTTTGTGAGAGTATATAGCTTTTCGTTAAAGTCTACATAACTGTTATTCATCAGTATACGAAGTTGCTGTAAATATAATACAATTTGTCATTTCAAGTTCAAATAATTATTTTCTGCTTTCTTTTGTTTAGCAACAAGAACAAGACCCTACTAATTTATATTTTCAAAATCTCCCTTATCACTTTGATGAAACTGTAAGAGTTTAAATTTTTACATCTTGAACTGCAGATTTTCAATTTTAAAAATTCTGTCATGGCACATTGTTCCACTGGCTTTTACTGTAGAAAATTTCAATACAACTGGATATTAATTCAACAACATGCCATTTTTTAGATACTCGAGAAAATGCTTATATCCTACGGAACAGTTATATCGACTAGAATACTAAGAGATACGAATTCTTATAGCAAAGGAGTTGGTTTTGCAAGGTATAGTAAACTTGATAGAACATTATATGAAATTTGCATCAAATCGTAAAGCAATAGCGGTTTGGACATTAATTTGTTTTCCACCATTTCGAAATCTATGCATCGTAAGCCTTATTACATGCAGTTTGTTGTTGCTGTTGCTGTTGCTGTTGCTGTTGCTGTTGTTGCTGCTGCTGCTGCCGTTGTTGCCGTTGTTGCCGTTGCTGCCGTTGTTGTTGTTGCTGCTGTTGCTGTTGTTGTTGTTGTTGTTGTTGTTGCCGTTGCAGCCGTTGCTGCCGTTGTTGCCGTTGTTGTTTTGTTGCTGTTGTTGTTGTTGTTGTTGTTGTTGTTGTTGTTGTTGTTGTTGTTGTTGTTGTTGTTGTTGTTGTTGTTGTTGTTGTTGTTGTTGTTGTTGTTGTTGTTGTTGTTGTTGTTGTTGTTGTTGTTGTTGTTGTTGTTATGGTGTTGTTATGGTGTTGTTGTTGTTGTTGTTGTTGTTGCTGTTGCTGTTGTTGCTGCTGTTGTTGTTGTTGCTGCTGCTGCTGTTGTTGTTGCTGCTGCTGCTGTTGTTGTTGTTGCTGCTGCTGTTGTTGTTGTTGCTGTTGTTGTTGTTGCTGTTGCTTCTGCTGTGGTTGTTGTCGTTGTTGATGTTGCTGTCATACCTGTAGATTTTATTTTTGTGGAGGTAGCCAATCCTTAAATGGAGCTAGACTATGCCACATTCTCGTACCCAGAGCCCGCCTTATACACACGATCAACAGGGCATGACAAGGACGCGGTGTACGAGAATGGGTTTGCCTCAACAGTCAACTGCAGATCAAAATTTAGCCTCTGAACGAGAACAAAATGCCAAGTGTGTCAATGTCATGTTTATGTGCATATTCTGGGTATTTCAGTCTTATTTAATACAGCGGAATATAGAAGTGCATTCTGAGAGTTCTTGCAGTTATTCCAGTTATTCCAGTTAGTCAGTAACTCCTGGTTTAGATAACAAGCTCCAAATGATTTTTGGAGTTAGCAACACAGCAAGTAACTTCAACCTTACATGTATGTTTCTAGCGGCTATAGGCTGACTCGCCTCGCTATACACATACTTTTTGGAGTTAGGCGTAACTCAAGGCTTAAATACCTTGTTTTTCATGATTTTTGGAGTTATACGTAGCTCTAAATGATTATTGGAGTTAGCCAGTAACTCCAGGCTTAGATGCCTAACTCCTAAATTATTTTTGCAGTTGTATACTTAGCTCCAAATGATTTTTGGAGTTAGCCAGTAACTCCAGAATTCATATTTCAACTCTTGAATTAC